CCTGAAGCCAAGCAGCGCATCAGTGATAGAGCCCGGATTTAACAAGCAGGCCAACCCTGAAGCCACCATGCTCAAACTTTAAGCTACACTTCATAGTATATGTTAATTTGCATAATAAGCACTTTTCTATAATGTAGGGTTAGTGGTACCATGGGTAAAATCATGCCTTCCCACTTAGGAAGCACTGCGCAGTGCAAGTGTAAACAATAGAAAGCAAAAGCTATGGAGCAAACACGAAGCATCGCTCCATCCAAAAGGGTCATAGTTATTCTGAGTACCTTTGGACATCGGAATATGGCCACAAACTCACAGCAGCCTTTTCCGGGGATGGGGGGGAGGGGTTAGTTTATCTCTGTTTATTTTCTATGTCCTCTCTCTGAAGAGGGTAATAGACAATGAAGGTCCCAAAGAAAAACATATCAAAAGAAAAGCCCCAAAGTAACACAAAATTAGGCAAATTCAGTCATGAAGAAAGAAGAACAGAGGTTCTTAATCTGGGACACAAGGATGCGGGTCTGAATTGCCACAAGTGTGGCCAAAATTCCAAGGGCGCACATGTGTGTGCGCGTGTTTGTGCGTGTGCATGTGTACATCGGTGAGGAAAGAATCTGCAGCTTTTATCAGATCCTAAAGGGTCTGTGACCCCATGAATACTACTGCTACAGGACTTAAAAATGAAAATCACTGAAATTATGAGGTAAAGAAAGTCATCTGTTTACACGATAAATATCTGAAGGCGCCAATGACTATATGCCGGCAGTTGAGTCCATTGCAGCGCACTGGGTCCCGTTTCCTGGGGCAGATAAGAGGACCCGGTGATCATCATCCCCACTACAAGCCTGTACCAACACAGCCACTCTGAAAATTTGCTCCATTCCCTCACTCCCCCAACCCGGCTTGCTCCCTCCTCCCCCACAGTGCAGGCAAAAACACCACCAGCCCGTGTGTTCGAGTCCCAGGCCCAGTTCCTCTTGCATCTCCAAGCCTCAAAGAACCAGTGTGAGGTGCCAGGTGGTTTTGCTCTATATTGGAACTCATTGTTCCGGCACAGCCGTATTTGTGAGCATGTGGTTGAAACTACGAGATGACAGTCTGCCCTCCTTTTGCTTCACAAAACGATGAGAAAGATCATGGCTTTGCTTTGCAGCACAGGACATGTCCATTTCCGAGCGTGCTCCTGACTCGGGACAGCAGGTACATAAGGCTGTAGTCTGTCATCCACAGGAAATCACCCTGTGGGGCAAAGTGACACACTAACATGGAAAAGGAAGAAATTGGCAAAAAGACAGAAGGGCAGAAAGAGAGAGACAGACAGACAGAGAGGGACAGAAACCAGAAAGGAAGTAACTTAGTGATTGTAATTTAAACCTCGAAAAAGTAAAATGTCTTGAGCATGAGAGGAACAGGTATGATGATATTCACTCCCCAACCTCTACAACATTCTATTTACTAGTCTACACAGCAAGCGTCCTCACACCCTCTGTTGGTCTAACTTCTTGGGTTCCCTGTGCTGGAGAAGATAAGGCTTGGGGGCCAGGTGGGTGAAGGAGCTTCAGTGACAGGCTGACTGTCCTTCCTCCTGGAGCGGAGAGAAGTGGGAGGGTTGACAGCAGGTTTGGAAAGTGGCCGAGAGGCTGGTCGAGAGGCTTCTGCAACAGCACAGGTGTGAGGTGATCCAGCTGAACCTGAGAAATGGGGACAAGAACAGAGAAGCGGGGACTGACATCGAGTCCTTGAAGAAAACACTGACTGAGCACAATGACTGGTTATGAGATGAGTTGCAGGAAAGGCAGCCTTAAAGATGGCAGTAAGGTCCGCGCAGAAACGCAGCAAGGAAAGCTGAGTGGAGAGTTGAGAGAACCTCCCGGGGAATTTGGAGCCTCTGTAGACTCTCTGAGAACGTGCAGTGAGTCCTCAGCAACAGCTAGTGGAGCTCAGGGTTCTGGGCAGGACAGGAGATGAGAAGCCAGATGCTCCAAACACAGAACAACAAAGCAACACAGAGGATGGTGGGGAAGGCATCTGGATAGAACTATTCCCTGTGAATATTCTCGTCCCAGTGTTTCCCCAATCACCCTCGGACCCGCCCCGCCACACACTCACATACAAAAGCTTTGGGGCCAACTACCTAAAAAATGAAGTCTAAGCTATCATGGTGGATTGTCCTTTCCCTCTCTCCTCCCATGGCACTGCTCCAAGGTCAATTTCAATGCCAAGTCTCCTGTGAAGCCTTTCCTCTTCACCCTCACCCAGGTTGATTGTACCACTATTTAAGGCTAGTTAGCTTTAAATGGTGTCTAATTGACAAAATAGGATTATAAAGATGGGAGGAGGGAGGATAAGAACAAGAAGAATGTGAATGCAGGCTGGAAAGTGTAAGATAATAAAATCACTTGACACTTAGCTCTGCTCTCCTGTTTCCTAAGGATTCCAGCAACAACCCCCTCCACCCCCACCCAAGGAAGGGAACACAGACCTTCATAAAAAAAAAATATTGCAATGAAGTTAAATGATTTGTCCAAATCCTTTAACTGGTAACACCCAGAGTTGAACTTATTCAGTCCTTCATGTGTTTATTCATTTATTCATTCATTCAATAAATATTTATTGCTGCCAGGTCCTATGGCGCTGTTCCAAGCATGGGATGGGGCGGAAGAACACAGCTGTGGATCACACACAGCCTTTGTCTAGTGGGAGAGACAGGAAATAAAGGAGTAAAAGTATAATCGAATGTTACAAATGACCGTGCTATGAAGAACCCTGAAGCAGGGGGAGACACAGAGGAGGCAGGGTTCCCCACTAGAGGGGGTAGTCAGACATTCTGTACTCGGAGCCCTGAGTTCTGCCCTCTGTTCCTACTGCAGACCCTTCTTGCTGACAAGTTGATGGTCATGAAATGTATAGCTCTGTCTCATTTCAGATGCTGTCCATGGCTTGGGGTGTGCACACCTGAGCACTAAAACCCATTCAGCACAAGATCCTCCACGCACACCGGGCTGTAGGTAGGTCTCCTTAACCTCCCCACCCCCCAAGCTAGACTGCCTTACTTAGCTTCCAATATGGATTATAAACTCCCTGGAGACAAGAACCCTTCCCACAGTTTCCGGTCAGTGTATGCTGGTTATGAGTTGATCAGATTAAATAAAAGCAATTGGAAGAACAGGAAGACCATTCCCCTTCCTCAATATTCATAAAGATGACAGTCAGCTCTTTGGAGAGTTCCCCAGACCTTAAGGACTTTTCCCAAACCAGCCCAGCCTCTCCACCATTCCCTGACCCCCAGGAGCTCCCCTCCTGCACAAACTCTTTTGGGTAGCCCAGCCCCCAAATAAGCCCCAGTAGAAAACCAGGTCAGTCCAGGCTGCAGTAAGTAACTGATCAGTCCAGGGTCAGTTTGGGACATTTTTGCCAACACAGGCCAGGTGACACTGCAGGTGGTGGACCGTGGCAGAGGAGTATGAAGAAGACAGCCACAAAATAGAGATGGAGAAGTAGTCCCACTTTACTAAAACCCATCTGAAGCATTACTGAGTGATAAACCAACTAGACTTACGGACAAAAACAAATGAGCTCAACTACTTTGAGTTATCTATCCATTCGATTCGCACAAACATCTCAGTCACGTGTTTTTGTTGTTTATTTATTTACAGCACCACTGAACATCTTTCGGTTTCACAGGTATGCATGTGTGCATACGTTACTGGGGGACTTCACATGCAATTAGTGATGAGTTATTTACACTTCACATCTTCAAGTTTGAATAGTTCCCACAAATGTGACAATTACACTTTGGCAAAATCGCCTGTGCAGACAGAAAGAAGACTTTAAGCAACAAAACTCCATAACACTGTAACATAACTTTAGAGCTCCAGGAAGGGTCACTCTCCCTCGAAAACCATCATCCTTCCTGGATTATTCTGGCTAGAATTCACAGCAGGTGCATTGTCTCTGACCCGATTTTGGACCAAGAGGAGACAGTTTATCCATCCAGCAATATTCAAGAACATTCCATGTAAACAAAAAGGTCCAGAATAAAACACCTGAGAAGAGAGGTTCCTGAACATGACACACGTGCATGAGCTAATCTCCAAATTCATAAGAACATTTAGATTACGGTCAGGATTAAGGTCTTATGCGATTTCCATTTGCGCCATGGTTTCCCGATTCAATATCTTCATTCTCACCTGTGACTACTCACGTGCAAATACACTCAGAAGCACAAATAAGTAACAACTCCTGAGGCAAAGGGCAGAGCTATAGAGCAGGCATAATTGTTAGTCAGTCTAAATTCAAAACCCAAATCGAGTCATCTTTCCTCACTATTTTTCTGACATAGTCTTTCTTTGCAGTCTTTAATTGCAATGTGTAAAGATACACTGAAAAGCAGGAAGTATATTTTGTCTTCTTGGGAAAAAATGGGATAGGATTTGGCAAAGGATTCAGTTAACCACAAATATATGGATTTTTTTTCTAACATCTGAACTTGTCCTGAGCATCAAGATCGCTTGTCCCAGAACCAATAAAAGAAACATCATCAAGTTTAAAACTGATAGAGAATTAAACACCTTAGCCCCAAGAATCAATCATACTATTATTTTCTAGTCTCATTTTTTAGTCACTTCATCAAACTGAAGACATTCATGAGTTGAAGAGGTCATGACAGAATAATGAGAGCAAATGCTTTTGTCTTCATTCCATTCACGGTTACATTGACTGATCTGTATAATCAGATCTGTAAGGGCTTTCCCCCCAAACTATATCTTCTCTTTAAATGTTCAAAATTGCTATGTAGAGGTAACTGTAATTTTGATGAACAGTTTGATCTCGCCTTTAAAAATACTTTTTTAAGTTTATTTATTTATTTTGAGAGAAAGAGCACAATCAAGGGAGGGGCAGAGAGAGAGAGGGAGGAGAGAGAACTAAGCAGACTCTGCACTGTCAGCACAGAGCCTAACGTGGGACTCGAACTCACGAACCATGACATCATGACTTGAGCCTAAATTAAGAGTCAGACCCTTAACCAGCTGAGCCATCCCAGGCATCCCTAAAAGATATTTTTAAAAGAATGAATTCTGCGGAACTGATTCTATTAAAATGAATACAGGGCTCTGGAGGGACTTTTTTGTCTGCAATAATTCTCAACTACCCTTAGGTTAAGTCAGTGACTCAGAACTAGAGACAAATTTGCCTCCAGGGGACTGTGGCAATGTCTGGAGACCCACAGAGGATGCCATAGACTTTTAAAAAATTATTTTCATTTCTTTAAAAAAAAAAAAAAGACAGAGAGAGAGAAATTTCTGGAACTAACAAGCACACAGGAACACTAAAAAGCAAAATGACAGCATTTTTCTAATCTCAGAGGGAAACAGTGTTAGGTAAAGCCACTGTTCATCAGGACCTGCAGCCACCAGGCAAGGCTGATTCACAGAGGAGAGGAAAGTTGCTGCAATTAAAATGCAGGACAGCTAAAGGGAGAGTAAAACTCCAGTAAAAACACTGTACTGCAGGCATCACGGTTGCCTAAGATGACATAGAAAACCACTTGAGTCCATATGAAAATATTGCACCTAAGGAGCGTATTCGAACTGACTAAATGTACTCCAGCTGTCTTAAAGGGGATCATTTCACAATGACTCTACTCTGTAACGTGGTATGTGATTAAGGGGTCATCAAGATATCTCTGTGGTAAATTTAGTTATGTTTAAGTTTAGTGCCTTTTTCTTTCCTAAAAATACTTTAGAGAAGTAAAGAATCTGGATGTAAACTAGTCTGCATTTCTTTAGCCAGGGGCCCAGAAAGTAGAAAATTATAATCTTTCCCTTCTAATAAGAAGCAGAATGATGGGAACCAATTGGAAGTGAGGGTCAGACTTCCTCTTTGGCACCAGTCAGGCATCGCAACCAACGTCTGTCTAGAATTTGGTCCATTTATCACCGTGGTGAGTTTCAAAGAGAATCCCCTGGTTGTTTTGTGAGAGCATGATGTACTTTTAATATTAAAAATAAAAACGCTGTCTTATATTTTACCCCTTTTTTTGCTATATAGTATCTATAGACTAGTCCAACAAACTCTTAGGGATAAAAACATATTTAACCTAATTCATTGCCAATTTAAACTCAGATAATAAATTTTCAAGGAATGAAAAAAATTCTTATCCTACTGATCACAGTTGCTTACTTATTTCAGCCTTAGAATGAACACTCAGACATTTGCTTAAATATATTAGTGCTGGAAAATGTGGGTGCTTTTTGCATGACCAGCCCAGGATTTCTGTTTGAGTACTGCACAGATTTGCAAAGGGCTCAGCGTCTAGAGATGAAGAGATGGTCTTTGTCAACTTTTCAACCCATCAGGGTCTCCCTACACTTTTCCATGAAGTTACTAGTTGGCAACTATAATAAATACTTTAAAATATGTTGAATGGAAGAAAAGTCAACCTAGCTTAGTTTTGGCAGGAATGAATACTCAGTGTCATATATGCCTCTCTCCCAGAAATATCCATTTTTCTCCTGGTAAATGCTACATATATCAACATGATCAGATAAAAGAAGACTCAAAGGAAATTTGGACAAATAATTTGGTCAGGAAGCAGTAAATGAAGACAGTCCCAAATGGACTGATTCTACAAGCCAGAATATAAGTATTGTGCCATACTTTAGGAGTAGAAATATTCCCACACTTCCAAGTGAAAAAAAAAAAAAGCATTTTGTGTATTAAACATTTGAAGTACCCTATAGCTGCAGTGCAGTTCACAGCAGAAAGTAAACATCAGCTTTCTCTCCACCCTGCAAAGTGAAGAAGTAGTCAGGAAGCATTTTCTTCCTGTCTTCCCCCAATAATCTCTACTTCCTTCAATGTTCTGAGACTATTTTCTACTTGAATTGGTATTCCTTTTATATTTATTTGAAAACAAGTCAAAGAAAACAAAATTTCTGCAGTGACAGGACTACCCAACTTTCTTCTTTTATGATCTTATAATGGAATGAAAACAACATTAGCTAACATGGTTCTTTAGTTTTTTCGATGTACTTGGCTATAAGCTCGCCCAAGAGTCAGCCACAAAATCTAATCACTTTAATACAAAAACTACTTTGAATCCTGTGTCCACAACCATTGAGTCCCAGCCTTCAATGTCTCTGATACGTATAACTAGCATGGTTTGCTTCTTAAAATAAATGTTCAAACTAAAACAGTGAGTTTGTTGAAGAGCAGCACGAGGTACCCAGGGCAACGTGAAGGAGTTCACAGTCACATAAAAATTAACAGACACATGCAGTTAACATCCCAAACAACCAGCCCCTTGATGAACACAGAGCGTGCCCAGCACAAATCTGACCAGTGCCTATAGCCCTCGGAGGTCTTTCCACAAGCCGGAGCGCCTCATCTACACTGTCTGTGTACGTCAGGACAAGATTAAAAATGTGTGCTGTTGACATAATGTTGGTCCTCCTGAGTTTTGCTAAGAGCTTTTCCGTGGTCGCTCAGGCAGCTGTCCAGAGAGACTTCAATAGCCACTTCTCTTGTTGCTCGTCCACGGAGGCCATCACCTGGGAACGGGTCTGGAGGGGGACAGCCATTGTGCTCCGCACAGCCATTGACGTGGGCCAGAGGCAGGGCCCCGGGTGGGCAGCACAGCTGTTTCTCACAGCCCTTGGAGATGCAGGGAGAGCTACAGAGCAACTGCAGATCCTTTTGCTCCATGGTCTCCTTCAAGTCCACGTGCTCAAACTGGATGGTCACGTTGTGGATTCCCGCATTGTGGAAGATTTCTCGAATTTTCATACTGGCGTCCTGATAGCCCCTGTCTTTCTGATACTTGATGTGCAGGGTGGCGATGATCTTTCCACTTATCAGTTCCCAGATGTGCACTTCGTGTACACTGCTAATCCCGGGCACGGCCGAGAGCTTACTCACTAGAACAGAGGAGCGCAGACAAAGAGTAAGGCGGGAGCTGCCCAGGAAGCACGTGCGGTACCCAGCATGGGAGGGACGTGGTCCCTGTGAGCCTTCTCACCACCACGATGTATTTACAAAAATAACACAGAGAAAAAAAGCTGTACTTGTATGGGTACATTTTCCAATAATCTTTCTCCTTTCATTATACCATTCATCATTAACTCATAAGAGGCAATTCAAGAAAATAAGTTTCACAACAACCAAAAAAATTCCCGGGACTATTAAGGGAACAGACACCCACATGGACTATGTTAGGAGTATGAAGCGGGATGTCTTTCTGAAAGGGGAGAACTTGGCAACATGGGCCAAAAACTTTTACCAGTTCTCTAGTACCAGGAATTTAATCTAAAGGGAAATACCCAAATGTTCATGCACAAAAATGTTTTGAGCGATGCTCTTTCTATTAACGAAGAAACGGAAACAAGGAAAGAGTTAAATCAATTATATAAAATATGATACAGCCATTAACAAGTTAAGTTGTTATTTAAGGATATGAGAAAAGGTATATAAGCTATCTTTAAGTGAAAAAGCAAATAGGTTTACTATGCATAAGGCATCATCTTCCTTCCTTCCTTCCTTCCTTCCTTCCTTCCTTCCTTCCTTCCTTCCTTCCTTCCTTTCCTTGTTTCTCTCTCTCTCTCTCCCTCTCTCTCTCTCTCTCACACACACACACACACAAACATCAGTGTGTGTACACACACACACACACACACACACAAATTTTTTAGGTAGCCTTCACACCCAGCACAGAGCCCAACACAGGGCTTGAACTAATGACCCAGAGATCAAGAGCTAAGCGGAAATCAAGAATCGAATGCTTAACCAACTGAGCCACCCAGGCACCCCCACACTCAAAACATTTTATGTAGATAAAGGCTTGTCTTATTGAATGATGGATACAAGATATTAAAAGTGGTTATTTCTGGGGAGCAGGATTACAAGAGATTTCTATTTTCTTACTTAGATTATTCTGTATTTTCCATATTTCTCAAAGGAACATGTATTTAGGGAGATGGTATTGGGAAGGATTATGAGCAAAACCCTGTAGCCAGCTAGAGTTTGAGTCCCAGTGCAGTCATGACCTTGGGTGATTTACCTAGCCCCCAGAGCCTCAGCCTCCTTATCTGTAAATTAGGAATAATAATGATAGTACCACATAGGTTTACTTTAAGGATTAAAATGAGTGAATATAAATAAAGCACTTAGAACACTACATAGCATGTAGTAAATGTCATAGAAGTGTGCTAACGTGATTACTATTTTTTAAATTTTCTATTTTACCTCTTTTAAACTTTTATTTATTTTTGAGAGAGAGAGAAAGAGACAGAGTGCAAGCGGGGGAGAAGCAGAGAGAGAGGGAGACAGAGAATCTGAAGCAGGCTCCAGGCTGGCTCCAAGCCGTCAGCACAGAGACTGACGCGAGGCCAGAACTCATGAACTGCGAGATCATGACCTGAGCCAAAGTTGGATGCTTAATTGACTGAGCCACCCAGGTGCCCCATTATTTTTTTAATTTTTTAAAAAATATGTTACTTGTTTTTGAGAGAGAGAGTGCTCAAGCAGGGGAGGAGCCAGGAGGGGAGGAGCCAGAGGATCCGAGGTGGGCTCTGCTCTGACAGCAGAGAGCCCAATGCGGGGCTTGAACTCATGAACTGTGAGATCATGACTTGAGCCGAAGTCAGATGTTCAACTGACTGAGCCACCCAGGCATCCCATTACTATCTAATTTTTAAAAATATGTTTTAAAAAATATATATACATACATATTACTTTGTTAAAAGGCAATATAAGCCATTATATATCACGAATTGGTTTTGATATGTTTATCTTGTTTGTTCTGCTGGGAAGCATGTTCCTGGAAAGCAGAGACAAAGCTGTGTACCTGCTCCTGGGCATCTCCTTCCCCACCTGCTACCTCCTCAGCTTGCAGCACTGGGCAAATAGTAGGTTGCAGGAAATGAAGGCTGATTATGTTAATGCTGTACAGTGAAGCAGCCAGAGAGATGACCACACCTACTGACTCTGAGACTCTAAATTAAGCAATGCTGCTAATGAGGCCCCCAAAGGCAAAAAGAGCATCCAGGAAAAAAGACTGCAGGGGCAACGCAAGCTGTTAGCAACTGCTAGACCAACTGGTCCCAACGCACGCTATTAGGCCTGGGTTTGGCAGAGCTGTGGTCCCCATTGGACAGTCACTGTAAATCACACCTTCATAGAGGAAAGCCCAGCCATGGCCATACAATGCATTAAGACCCATTCAAACCTCATTCCAGGAGCTTGTCATGAAGGTCTTCCAAGCCTCAGAGTGGCCTGGGCTCTATCTCATGGTTACAGGCCCACTGGTGGGCCATTGAGTGTATAACACAAATATGCATGAAAAAAAAATTTTTATAAAAACAATCTCCATTTACAAACACTAGAAATAAAGTTGCAAATTCAGTTTCTCACCAACATCTGGATAGTTCCCATTTAGAAATTCTGCAAAGTCTTTAAAATGTATATGCTCAGGGGCGCCTGGGTGATTCAGTCAGTTAAGCGACTGACTTTGGCTCAGGTCATGATCTCATGTTTTGTGGCTTTGAGCCCCGCATCGGGCTCTGTGCTGACAGTTGGGAGCCTGGATTCTGCTTCGGATTCTGTGTCTCCCTCTCTCTCTGCCCCTTCCCCAACTTGTGCTCTGTCTCTCTCTCTCAAAAATAAATAAACGTTAAAAATTTTTTTAAAAATATGTATTCTCAGGTGCACATAAGTAAGAGGAGAGTTTGAGTGTCTGTGTGAGCAAAGCAAAGAAACAGATTTCATTACTGAACAAGGTCATGAATGATCTGAACTTAAAACACAAAACACAGTCCTTTTTACAGTGTTATAAGAGACCAGGTGCCTTGCATGCCCATAAAAATCAATAAAATCGAGTGCAAGATAAAGGATACAAAGGAATGATTCACGTTTTCAGAATAAGGAGAATAAAAATCAAGTTCTTGTCAGGGTAGCCTTATTTGAATTAAATGTAGTTCCTTTTTTTTTTTTTTTTAATTTTTTTAAACATTTATGTATTTTGCAAAGAGAGTCATAGAGCATGAGTCGCACAGGACCTTTGGTTCCTGGAGCTGTGAGTCACCGTACTAGGCTACAAAACGTATGATGGATGTCGCTATTGCCTGGTGATTTGAAGCATTTCAAGATACATAAATCAAACACTGCTCTGCAACAATGCTGGCCCTTTGGCCTGAAAGACATCAGATGGGCATGGTTCTGGATAAGAATCATTCGACTTACTCAGCTCTTCCATGTTAACTCCTTTGGGGACCATCTGCAGCAGAATCGCAGCAGTCTCCTTGATGAGTGGGAAGGCAGATGACAAAATGATGGCAACCATGACGACGGTCAGGCTGGGATCGATGTAACACTGCCAGTTACATGGGTCCTCACCTTTCAGGGGACGCACGTAGAATATGATGGCCGTGATCACCACAACCACCGACCCCAGGGCATCGCCCATCACATGCAAAAGAACACCTGCCATGAAGAAAGAAAGACCAATAAAGCACAGGTCCAGGTTTGGGGGTCATGTGACACGCCGGAACCTGGGTTCCCAAGTCTAAGAATACCAGTTGCTATTTGTGTTCTTTTTGGTTAGAACAGCAGGATGGTTTGAAAGGGGGTAAAAACGCAACTGTTTCACAGGAAACAAAACCCTAGGCCACCATCCCAGGACCCAGAGAACCTGGAACAGCCTAGGAAGGTTCTGAGCCGCACACACCTCTGGGGAGATGGACTGTGCCTGTTCATGGCGCCCCATCATGGCCATCTGCCACCCACTGGAAGGCACCGAGCTGGCAAACAGAGGCTGTGCAAATGGTTTTTTGCTCTTTCAGGCAAGTATCTGTGATTTAAATTGGCTTGAACATTCAGAAGAAAGGGAGCTAAGATATATCAAGAAAATGGTTCTTTTTATTCCTTGTCTTCCCTCTCCCTTGATCCATTTTCTCCCTTCCCTACATGCTTTGCCTACTGCTTATTAGCCAGGGTCATTCAAACTGGATCTGGTTCAAGAGATCCTTAAGAAGGGACTCCAGCAGGAGTGACTGGGTGGCTCAGTCAGGTAATTATCCAACTTCGGCTCAGGTCATGATCTCAGTCTGTGAGTTCAAGCCCTGCGTCGGGCTCTGTGCTGACAGTTCATAGCCTGGAGCCTGCTTCAGATTCTGTGTTTCCCTCTCTCTCTGTATCCCTTCTGCTCAAGCTCTGTCTCGCTCTATCTCTCAAAAATTAATAAGTGTTAAAAGCTTTTAATGTGAAGACTGAATATTTCCTTTATGCACTTGACATTATTTTCACTGCCTGAGTGAACTAAACAGTTAGTTTCATGCGTGCCAGCCTCATTTCCTCCATTAGACTCTGTGTGTGAGAATGACGGTCATGCTGTGAACTTCTTTTGTTTATGTTTTCACCCTGAAGGCATACTGTGAAGGCACTCAATAAAACACTATTTTCTGGTTGGTCAGTTGTAACTGTCCTGACATAGAGTAACTTCTGTCTTTTACTTAACAATAATAATTGTAATGCTGGCTAACATGTATGCATCAGATGCTATTGTAAGTATATTACACGTATTTACATATTAAGTCCTTTTAAGGGCTCTCTTAAGTGGTTACTCTCTCCATTTTACAAATGAAGAAACTGAGGCACGGAGTAGCTACGGAACTTATCCAGAAGCACAGAACTAGAAAGTGCTAGAGTTGGGATAGAAGTCCGAGTAGTCTGACGAGGACCAGTATGCATTCAGCCTCATGAAACTCTTGCATGCCAAGTTCAGGTTTTCTTTCTAAGAAATTTCACTATTAGCTCCTAAAAATTATATAAAGTAGCTTTCAAATCTGTCTTTCCCATAATCCACAGTCAGATGCTTAACCAATAGCCACCCAGGCATCCCTCCCCCCTCCCCAAGGTCTTTCTTACTGGAGAAAACAATTAGAAACATCTCATCAAAGGAGACTTATTTTCAAATGGTGTTAGGATTGCTGTTCATCTATTCATATTTACACTGAAATATAAAAGCTAATTATCTTTTTGACACTCTGTTACGTATCACGTTTGATCTCATTAAATAAAATAAACCTCTATGACTGATGAGAATTTTTAAAGGATCCTGCTTTTGCTGGGTTTTGCAGAAGACGGAGTATGTTTCTCAGAGGGTATTTGTTTTATTCCACTGAAATAAGAGAAACAGTCATGAAAATCCAGAAATGATTTTTGTTCACAAGAATCCCCATCAGTTGTCTTCTCCCCTGCAGATCTGGGGTGGGAGTGGAAGACAGTTCTGCTTTCTAAAGTAGTGGTTTAAACGCCAAAAATCTGGGGCATCTCGCTGGCTCAGTTGGTTAGGCATCCAGCTTCAGCTCAGGTCATGATTATGCAGTTTGTGAGTTCAAGCCCTGCATCGGGCTCTGTGCTGACAGCTGAGGGCCTGGAGCCTGCTTTGGATTCTGTGTCTCTCCCTGCCCTTTCCCCACTCATTCTCTCTCTCTCTCTCTCTCTCTCTCTCTCTCTCAAAAATAAATAAGCATTAGAAATATTTTTTTTTAATAAATAAATGTCAAAAATGTAACCGCTCAGTGTACCGTCTAGAGCGGAAAGCAAGCCATTGGTGTGGGACACTTGGAAGAGGCAGAAATGTGAAGTGGGAACCCAGGAAGCCAGCCCTGCCTCTGTTTCGAGCCTGAGTGACTTGGGAAGTCACCAGATTCTCTGGATCCTGCTTCCTTATCTGTAAAGTGAGCGGGTAGAGTCCATTCCTACTGAGGCCTTTCCAGCTGTTAACATTCTCTCTGCCTTCTCCGAAGCATGGCTTCAAATGGTTCAGACACGGGGCCTGAGGGGAGGTCAGACTTCCTTGCGGCCTGAGGAGTGGAAAGGCTCCCTCCCACCAGCACCATGGGTGCTCATCCTCACCGAAGAGGTGCAGGGGTGAGCCCAGCAGCTCCATCCACTACCTGAATGACAACAGCTCCCACCTGCTAAGACTCTCACAAATGCCAAGTGACTCCTTTAAGAAGGGGCACAAAGCATGCACTCCATAAACACTAACCCTAACCCTCGCAGCACCTCACGAGCTTTATCTCACAACAACCTCATTACGTGGATATTACTATTTTCATTTTAAAGACGAGGGAATTAGAGGCCGATAGAAATCCAAAAATTTCCCTAAGGTCAGAGTCTTGAACCGGAGTCAAGACCCCAAACCCAGGCCTCTTGAGCCCAAATCCTGCCAGAAGCTAGCAGTGCGCCTGTGGACCACCGGGCTCAGCCATGTACAACATGGCACGTTACCGCTGACATTTTTCCACCTAAGAGCTTTAGCAGCTTTAGACTGAAGATCAGCCACATCATACAAGTTTCCCATATGGTATGCTTCCCAAACAAGGTCATGATACCTCTCAGTCCTGCTAGTAATTCCTTGGCATCTTTTCACCTTCTTGTTCTCTTTCTCTGCAACCTAAGCATAAATAGCTAGCAATGTGCTTTGAAAAGTTCAAGTGCTATGAAAAACCTATGATATATAATATATGGTATATATCTGATGGATATTATAGATATATATGTGTGTGTGTATATATATATATACATATATATATATTAAACTGAACCTAAAGAAAGATAAACGATAGCGATTTTTCATTACAGATTCTCTCTTTCCAAAAAGACTGACCACCAAGCACTTCAGAAATTCCCCTGTTGCGGTTCAATTTTTTAAAACTGATTCATTTAGAAATGTTTAGGAGCTCATGTGTGACTGTTACTCTTGTTTGGGGGTTTGGGGGCTTTTTTTCTGATTTTCCTTATAGATCGGTTCTGGGTACCACTTTGTGAAGCAGATGGGAGTCTCTCAAAAATGAAAGTGTCTCCTGGTAATTACTTTTTCTCTATATCATTTCCAACCGAAGTCCCACCTCCCCAAATCATCTGAAAGTAAAGGGCTGCATTATCTTTGCGGAAATCCTCAAAGTCAATATTGGGGCTTCTTGAATCACTCGGAGGCGAAGTTGAAAGAGAGAAATGCTGGATACAATGTTGATGTCTTGGTGAGATATGCACCCCTGAACTCCCAGACTAACCTTTGCCCTGCAGTACCTGTGACCTTGAGCACATGGTAGAGAGAATGCTAGTAATGTGCCTTCCACGTGCCTCATCAGCACCCTCACTTTGGACCTGGAAGTATTCGAGTGAGCCAATGGACCCATCACAGACACAGATTTCTGGCAGAAATAAGTGAGGTATGAGGGTCATTCGGCAATGCACCTTGGATAGCAGACACTCACTCTCTTCTTACCTTTCTCAAAATTACATTCAATTGAAATAGGTCACATATGACTTTAGCACTATCCAGGGGTGGGCAAAGTAACGGCACACCATTGATCTGTGAGGCTCTGAAACAGGCAGCATTAGCATGGCTCTAAGTGGAGCAAGGATAAATCATTAGCAACCAGTGTGTCCCTCAGAATCAATGCAGTGATTAGGCAAGAGATAAGGGTCATAGTCTATTCATGCAACTGGCCGACTTTCGAACACACCTTATTGAAAGGCAAACAGAAATGAAGAGCACAGTACAGTCCATATGTACTCCTGAAAAGAATTGCAAACTGACCCAAAGGCAATCCTACCTCTGATATTCAGGGCTTCGGACTTTTTCTCCTTTTTCACAGTCTCTTCTGACTCATTCTGGGTGTTCAGAGAATCACCTGCATTCAAAGAAGAAACCTTGTGTTGTGTATAAGTTCTACAAACAAAAAGAACCAATGGACTCAAAAAACAGTTTTTGTTATTTTAAACTCCCACTAGCTCATCAGACCCCCTACCTCTCCACACACACACACACACACACACCCCAGAATGGAACATTTTGGCCTTGACATCAGCCTTGTGATCTACCTCTGGATTTCATTCACAGCCTATTCAAGTTATAAAAAAAAAAAAAAAAAAAAAAGGAGGCAAGTGGGAGCCCACCCCCTTCCCCAAACCTGTAAGTAACCCCCAGGGGGACAGAAGGATGGACAAAAGGGGAGGGAGAAAACAAAGTGCAGACAGCATCGAAGGAAGGGGTAGGGGGTGGGGAGTGCTATCTGTTGCCCAATAACAGCTGATTTTCAGAACAATCAATACTCCAAAGCAGGTAGAATAAGGGGGAGGTGAAAGAGACGAAGAAGAAGAAGAAGAAGAAGAAGAAGAAGAAGAAGAAGAAGAAGAAGAAGAAGAAGAAGAAAGCAAGCCAGCCAGCTTGAGGATCCAGGAGAAAACAAAAGAAACTGAAGAATACGATACATTAGCAGCAGGGAATTAAACCGGGCTGCAGAGGAAATGGATTAAGCGCGCGCTTGCGCGCGCACACTCACACACACACGCACACACACACGCACGCACGCAAGAAGCAGCCGCCGCCGCCCGCGAGAAAGGAAAGAGGGCGTGGATGCGGAGGAAGGGACGCGCGTGGGAGGAGGGCAAGGCCGAGAGGTCCGGAGGATGCAACCGAAAGGCACCTGCTACGTTGGAGATCACCGTGGCGCCCCGCTCCTCCTTGCGGTCCGCCGAGGCCGCGCAGCCGGCGACGGCGGACGGGGGGCCGGGGGCGCCCCGCGGGGCCCCGGGGGCGCGCGGGCAGCGGCCCTCGGCGGGCGGCGGGCGGCGGCGGCGGCGGCGGGGGCCGCAGCAGGCGAGCCAGGCGGCGCAGTCCTGGAAGATGAGCAGCCCCAGCACGTTGACGGCCAGCCCCAGCGCGCCCACGATGAGCACCAGCTCGGGGTCGTCGATGCGCTCGGGCCGCGCCAGGCGCAGCACGGCCTCCACGCAGATGGTGAAGCAGAGCGCGGTGAGGAAGACGGCGTTGCTCAGCGCGCCCAGCACCTCGGCGCGCGCGTAGCCGTAGGTGGCCCCCAGGCCCCCGCGCGGCCGCCGCGCCACGTAGCCGGCGCCCAGCCCCACGCACAGCGAGATCAGGTCGGACAGCATGTTGAAGGAGTCGGACAGCAGCGCGATGGAGTTGCCCAGGTAGCCCGAGACCAGCTCGGCCACGAAGAAGGCGACGGTGAGCACCAGCATGAAGAGCAGCCGGCACGTCTTGCCCGAGTAGCGGCCCATGTCGCCGAGCCGCCGCCGGTGGGGGCGCCCCTGCGCGGCCCAGCCCGGTGCCCGCCTCCGGCCTCGCTGCCCGCCCGGCGCCCGGCTTCTTATAAGGCGGAGGCAGAGCGCCCGGAGGCCCGGCACGTCCAGAGTCTAAGGGAGTGGCCGCGGCGGCCGTCTCTGAGGGCCCTCGGGCCGCCTGCGAGGCCCCTTCCCCCTTCCCCGGGTCCCGGCCCCGCTTGGCAGGTGGCCACGGGCCAATGTCTGGCCTTCTAGGACAGCGCTGGGCAGAGACGCGGAGCGGCTGGGGAGAGGGGGCGTGTCTGCAGCGCCCTCCTCCCTGACACCCTGGGGCCTGGGTGGGATTCACCCACCGACCCCGCTTCCCCGGTCCCTCCCATCCCAGGGCGCTGACTGTTGACTCCGGGCGGGCGATAAGGACCTTGACGGCTGTGGGGTGTGTGCGCTGCGGTGGACGTGGACACCTTCGCGTACGTGCCCAGACGCGGCTCGCATTATAGATTCCACATTAACCCGGGGAGGCCCCGGCCAACCCTGCCTAACCTTTGCCTGAAGCCGGAGCTGGGCCCTCACGTAGCATCCCCACTCCGGTACAGCCCGGGGTCTAGCCTCTCCTTGCGCATGGCCTTCGCGCCGAGGGCGGGGTATCGTTCCTATCACCCCCCTCCGGGCACCAGGTCGTCCCTGTCCCCTCCACCCCCACGCCCACCACCAGCATCTTCGCTCACACGGCCTCCCGCCAGGTGAACTGCGGGGTGGCCCTGGAGGAAAGCACAGATCGTACTTTTTGTAAGCATGGCACCCCCACACAGCGCTCAGAAATGCGCTCTCCCTGTGGTAGACCCAAGTCCTTTGACCACGGAGGAAGCGAGGCCAGGCCTCCTCTGTGTACGTGCCTCATTTTCCATTGCAGAGAATATTCTACTTACCCCCATGTGTCCCTCACAGCATGACCTGATACTCAAAGTTCAATCGACTGACCTCCATGAAGGTTTATTCCAAATAAAGCCTTTCCTGTTGACAACAGGCTGGGTTCCAAGAAAAAGTTATCCAGAGGAGAGCTGTCCCCAGGACTCGGCGGAAGCCGGGGGGGCGAATCCATGAAGAAGTGTGTTTGCTGTTGGGGGTTCAGGGAGGGGTCGTGGGAGAGCCCACGATTTTCCTTCTATTTTGTTTTATATTCTTTTCTCGTTCCCAAAAGGATCTGAATGTGACGTCTGGTGATCTCTATCCCCCCCTCCTCCTGTCCCTAAGCCCTGAACTTTAACCATTCCTGAAACACATCTGGTTTGGGCTTGGAAAGAATTGTGTCCATTTAGCAGCACTCTGATTCTAGCCCCGTTCATTGCCTTCACCTTATAAAACACAATCTTGTCTTTTAGGGGTCCTAAGGTTCCCTACTGAGCACCCAAACTCGAGAAGCCCACTACCCGTTCCCTCCCTGCCTCCAGGAAAACATCCCTACACTGAGGACTTGAGGAAATGGATCATTTAAAGTATCTCCAAAAATTAGTATTAAAATGGACAATAATGTAAAAGAAGCAAAGAGAGGGGCGCCTGGGTGGCTTAGTCGGTTAAGCGTCCGACTTTCGCTCAGGTCATGATCTCGCGGTTCGTGGGTTCGAGCCCCGCGTCAGGCTCTGTGCTGACTGCCAGCTCGGAGCCTGGAGTCTGTTTCAGTCTGTGACTCCCTCTCTCTCTGACCCTCCCCTGCTCACGCTGTCTCTCTCTCTCTCTCTCCTAGAAATAAATAAAACATTAAAAAAACTTTAAAAAATAAATAAAAGAAGCAAAGAGATATATAGATAGGCTGATGAAAGTTTTGCAGCTGTCTGGCCTTGGACAAGTTCCTTAATTGTCTGGGCTGGTTTTCACTGCTGTAAAAAGGGGATAATAATAGGCTCTTCTCATATGTTTGTGAAGATTAAATGGGTTAATAAGTATAAAGTGATTATAACAGTGCCTGGCACAGAGGAAGCACTCAGTAAATTGCTAGCTGCTTATTAAAAAGAAAAAAAAAAAACACAGGAATTAAAAGAAGGTGTGGGGTGAGGGGGGGGACACTGTTCAGGAGGAGGTCGGAAGGGCGAAGTGGTCCGGAAGGCCACACTTCAACGTTAGCGTGCTAGTATTAATATTAGCATCGCGGCACATGTATCGCAGAATTGCTATTGAACTACCGATGTCTCACTCTGATACGAAGAAAGATATCCCAGCTTCTGGCTTATACGGTCTTCAAACTAGGAAGCCTTGACTCACGTAAGGTAAGACCGCAGGCAAAGCGGTCAGACCCAGACAGAGGCCTCGTGCAAATCACTTGCCAGTTCTCCGACGGTCCTTGCTGATTGCATTTCTTTGTCATTCACAACCGGAGGAAAAACCCGAGGTCAGCAGAAATGTATCACTTGTGCCTGTTACCCAGTCATTCTCCCAACCAAAAGCAGATAAGAAGAATCATGTCACTGCTCCAGGAGGGCGGTTGATGGAACTAGAAAGCCGGCAGGCAGCTGAGGAAGTGGAGGAGGGAGCTGTGTCTGAGGGGCCCTGCCCAGGGCTTGGCCTTCAACATGGGCTGAGGGTGTCAACAAAATGCACATAAGAAAAATGGTTTGACTAGCTGGCTCTGATTAGATGGATGGATGAATAGATGCATACATACATACATACATACATACCTAGAATATAGCTTATATGGAGAGAGAATATATATAATCTAAGTTAATTGACAAAAATTTAGGGTGCATCTTACACTTTCCTGTATATAATGAGGTTTCCAAAGATTTGTTTAATGGGCTTTGACTTCCCAGCCCTTTGCTGAGACTTTATAGGCATTATCTCATTTCGTACTCACAACTGACTCATAAAATAAGCACTATTTTATAGGGGAAGAACACGGAGCCCAGAGGTTTTAAGTCACTTGTCCAAGATTACATAATATGTAACTGAGAGACTAGAGATCCGATCTAGGCATCAAACTCTAGGGCTTACAGTCTCCACCTCCCCATTATATTGATTTGGTCATTTTCAACACTCCTTTGTTCTAAACAAATGATTTTTTAAGTTTTACTTTCATTGGCGTAGAACTTGATGCGCTATGATTTATAAAGTCAGAGATTTTAATACCAAGTGTTCTTCCTTCACTGGTACTGACTCAGAAAGTAACAAACTTTTTTTCAAGAAATTGAAAAAGCAGCTGTTTTTGTTTCTTTTTTAAAATTTTTTTAATGTTTATTTATCTTTGAGACAGAGACAGAGTGTGAGCAGGGGAGGGGCAGAGAGAGGGAAACAGAATCTGAAGCAGCTCCAGGCTCTGAGCTGTCAGCACAGAGCCCAACGCGGGGCTCAAGCTCACGAACCGCGAGATCATGGCCTAACTTGGATGTTTAACTGACTGAGCCACCCAGGCGCCCCTGTTTTCATTTTTTTTCTAGTTGACAAGAGACAATTCTAGCTTCCAGGAGGGGAATGGATATCTCGTCCAAGGCACCAAACTCTTACTTTTATAAAAGATGTAGCTCTTTTACCTCATAGCTCCTGCCTCCAGATTTAAAAACATCATCAGAAGCTGGATACTCCCCACCTTTAGCCCAGCACCAAACACGCA